GTGAACTAATATAAATTCAAAGTAAACATCATTACAGAAAAGGGTACGGTCTTTTTTTTTTTAGTTTTATTCATTTCAAACGGGCCGCATCCGGCCCGCGTGCCGTAGTTTGCCCATGGCTGGGTTAGAGTGTCAGCCTGTGAATCAAAGGGTCGAAGGTTCGATTCCTGGTCAAAGGCACATACCTGGGTTGCAGGTTCGATCCCTACCCTGGTTGGTGTGCATGAGGAAGAAAACCAATCGATGTTTCTATCTGACATCAATGTTTGTCTCTATCACTATCTCTTTCTCCCGTCTACTCTCTCTAAAAATCAATGGAAAAAAATATCCTTGGGTGAGGATTAACAAAACAAAACAAAAAACCCAAAATATTAGTTAATATAAATTAATATTTGACAAAGGAGGCAAGAGCATACAATGGAGTAAAGATAGTCTCTTCAATAAATGGTGTTGGGAAAATTGGACAGGTACATGCAAAAAAATGAAACTAGACTACCAACTTACACCATACCCAAGAATAAACTCAAAAATACTTAAATGTAAGTTGTGAAACCATAAAAATCCTAGAGGAAACCATAGACAGCAAAATTTCAGACTTCTCTTGGAACAGTATTTTTGCTGATATATCTCCTAGGGTAAAGGAAACAAAGGAGAAAATAAATAAATAGGACTATATCAAAATAAGCTGCTGCACAGCAAAAGAAACCATCAACAAAATGAAAATGAGCCCACTCCATGGGAAAACATATTTGCCAATGATACATCTGATAAGAGGTTAATATCCAAAGTATATAAGGAACTCATTCCACTTAAAAAAAGGAAGACAATCCAATTAAAAAATGGGCAAAGGATCTAAATACACACTTCTCCAAAGTGCACAAAGAGAAGACCAATAGACATGAAAAAATGCTCAAAGTCACTAATCATCCAAGAGATGCAAATTAAAATAACAATGAGGTATCACCTCATACCTGCCAGAATGGCTGTCATCAAAAAATCAATAAATGACAAGTGTTGGCAAGGATGTGGAGAAAAGGGAACCCTAGTATACTGGTGGGAATGCAGACTGGTTTAGCCATTATGGAAAACAGTATGAAGTATCCTTAAAAAAATTAAATATGGAACTGCCATTTGACCCAGTGATCCCATATCTAGGAATATACCCTAAGAAACCCAAAACACCAATCAGAAAGAATGTATGTACCCCTATGTTCATACCAGCACAATTTACAATAGCCAGGATCTGGACATAGCCCAAGTGCCTATCAGTAGATGAATGGATAAAAAAAGCTATGGTACATTTATACCATCGAATACTATGCAGCAGTAAAAAAGAAGTATCTCACCCTTTGAGACAGCATGGAAGGACCTAGAGAGTATCATGCTAAGTGAGAGCAGTCAGAGAAAGACAAGTATCACATGATCTCACTCATATGTGGAATCTAATGAACAAAGTAAACTGGATCCAGAGACATGGAGACATGGAACAGACTGGAATCTCATAGAGAAGGCAGGGAAGGGTGGGTGGGTGGGGAGATATTAATTAACCCATGGACACAGACAAATAGTGTGGTGAAAGCCTGGGGTCGGGGACAGAAGCGGACTGGAAGGGGTTAATGGGGAGAAAAGTGGACAACAAATGTAATACTTGCAACAATAAAGATAAATAAGTAAATTTAAAAAAAAACCACATTAGTTGGAGTTAGTGGTACCCCCACATCCAGCATTGTATCGATTTCTGAGAGCTTGGTATCCCTGTGTGGCCATAATAGATACTCAGTATATGCTGACAAAATTTAGTTGATACTCAGTACACGTTAGGGTATGAAGACTGTCATTTGTTGAATATCTGATAGGTGCCAGAAGTTATTTCTCACTAAACAAAGGTTTGGTTTTGTTTTTTCATTTAATCCGTTCAATAATCCTGTCAGGTGGATGGCATGTAATTTCCATAATTACAATGAAATAATTGCATCTTACAACTTGTTAGTGACAAGCCATGATTTAAAGTCAGGAGTCAGCTCAGTTCTAGCCTCTTTTACTACTACATGCTACCTCTTCCATCTCTAGGGTGGCATATGAACTTTATTCACTTAGCATTGCCTGGCTTCATCTCAAAATTGAATATTTTTTCCTTACCCACAAACTTTGCTTTGAAATAGGAAAATGAAAAAAAGTTAATCTCTATTAAGTCTGAAGTATAATTCCTGTTCCCTTCTAAATCTAGTTGAAATGATTTCTGCTCCCACCCCCCCATTTCTGTAACATAGGTTGGGGGGGTCATCTTAAACCTTTCACTCTTTCTTCCTAATCCTGTTAGATGTTCCATCCATTATCTGTGCACTTAACCCCACCTCTAGTTTTATTGCTCAGTTAACATAATGGCATGCTTTCTTGTAGTAGTGATGCTGGTCTTTCTGCCTGTAGTGTCTTTCCCTCTCTATTTCTTCTATATACTACCACAGAATGATCTTCCTAAGTGATACTCGATATGTCATTTCTATCAGAAAGCCTTGATTGCCCTTTACCTTTCAGGGGCAAGAAATTGCTTTCTTCAACACTTGTTATTAAAGGTTCGGTCCAATACCTTTTCTTGACTCTTATAGGTGTTAATACTTTCAGGCAGTTGTTTTATTTTATTATTTTTTTATTATAATTTATTGTGATATTGGCTAATAAAATTATATAGGTTTCAGGTGTACAAGTCTATAATACATCATCTGTATATTGTATTGTGTTCACCACCCCAAGTCAAGATTCTTTCCATCACCATTTAACCTCCCTTTTACCTTCTACCTAGCCCCTCTCCCCCGGCAGTGACTTTAAAATGAGTTTTTGCTGGTTATGAATTATTTTTTTTAAGTAAATATATTTTTATTGATTTCAGAGAGGGAGGGAGAAAGATAGAAACATCAGTGATGAGAGAGAATCATCGATCAGCTGCCTCCTGTACCTCCCCACACTGGGGATTGAGCCTGCAACCCGGGCAAGTGCCCTGACTGGAAATTGAACCGTGACCTCCTGGTTCATAAGTCTATGCTCAACCACTGAGCCACACCTGCCAGACTAATTATTCTTTACTGGAGGCCCGATGCACGAAATTTGGGCAAGAATAGGCCTTCCCTCCCCGGCTGCTGGCACCGGCTTCCCTCTGGCACTGGGAACCCAGGCTTCCCTCGCAGCCCTGGCTTTGTCTGGAAGGACGTCCGCATATTACGCTTTTATTATTATACTAGAGGCCCAGTGCAGAAAAATTTGTGCACTCGGGGGAAGGGGGTTCCCTTAGCCCGGCCTGTGCCCTCTCGCAGTCTGGGACCCCTCGGGAGATAACGACCTGCTGGCTTAGGCCTGCTCCCGGGTGGCAGAGGACAGGCCTAATCCCTAGGTGCAGCCCCTGGTCGGGCTCAGAGCAGGGCCGATTGGGGAGTTGGGGCGCCGCCCCCTGTCATGCACAGAGCAGGGCCGATCAGGGGGTTGGGGTGCCACACCCTGTCACACACAGAGCCGCAGGGCGATCAGGGGTTGGGGAGCTCCCCCCTATCAGGCACAGAGCAGGGCTGATCAGGGGGTTGGGGAGCCTTCCCCTGTCACGAACAGAGCAGGGTGGATAGAGAGGTTGTGGCCCCGCCCCCTGTCACACACAGAACTGCAGGGCGATCAGGGGGTTTGGGCGCTGCCCCCTGTCACGCTGATCCTGGAGCCGGGAGGCATATTACCCTTTTACTATATAGGGTAGAGGCCTGGTGCACAGGTGGGTGCCGGCTGGTTTGCCCTGAAGGGTGTCCTGGATCAGGGTGGGGGTCCCCACTGGGGTGCCTGGCTAGTCTGGGTGAGGGGCTGAGGGCTATTTTCAGGCTGGGGGTGATTGAAGCTCCCAACTGCTCCTTTTTTTCTTTTATTCTGGACTAGCTTTAGCTTTGAGGCTTGGCTCCAGCTCTTAGGCCTCCGTTGCTGAAAGCAGGTTTCTGGCCTTTGCTTACAATGTTGCGATCCTGCTGGCTGAAGCCCGGGACTAAAGCAGATTTCTGGGGTTTCTATATTTGTTACATAGTTGCTTAGGGTTGCAGCTCAGAGGCCTGCAGCGGCAGGCGGGGAACATTGGAGTCCTCCGTCACTGAAGCAAGCAAGCCTCATGTTCGCTTCCAGCTGCCTGGCTGCCGCCCGCCATCTTGGCTGGCAGTTAATTTGCATATCGCCCTGATTGGCCAATGGGAAGGGTAGCGGTTGTACGCCAATTACCATGTTTCTCTTTTATTAGATAGGATATTACTTTGTGTGTAGGATTTATGTGACTTCAAATTCTTTGATGTCTTTTTGTATTTTGCAGATTCTTTAAAGCAGGGGTACTTTCATATTAGAGTATCATTTAGATTTATCAGATATAAAAAATAAATTTAAGCATAGTTGGGGAACAGTATATATCTCTTCTAGTGATGTCATAGGTAGATTTGTGGTGTGGAAATGGGATTGTGCTTTACCTTAGAATTTTAACATAGGGCAAAACTGGCATCATTGTAATTGCCTTTCTGAGATGTTGTAAAGGCTTATATATTGTTGGAGGATTTTATCTGAAGTACTTTATTTTATTATTATCAAATTTATTTGAGGATCTTGATGATAATGTGATTATAGAATCTTAAAAAGGGCTAATCATAGCCTTCTTAGTCTAGAGCTACTAAGGGTATTTAGAGAAGTAATGTGTATTTGTTGAGAAAAATTTTATAAATTTGATCTGTGCTGGGCAACAGATTGCTTTTATAATATCTGTGAAGGAAAAGTTTATGAAGCAAAATAAGAGAATAAGCATGCTTTTATGAATATATTTTAGTTACTTATTTTTTTAAAGTAGGTTAAACAGAGACTTCTAATTGGAATACCTGAGTTAGTCATTGATCTGAATTATTGAGATTTTGTTGTGTTTTGAACTTTTGTTTTTAAAAATGTAAGTAAAATGGATATATAGGTCTTAATTTTAAATAGAACTTATTTCTATTGAACAGCACCTGTGGAACCTTCTCAAGAGGAACAGTCGTTGTGTGAAGGTAATTTTCTATGATGTGACACTTACACTATTTGATTTGAGAAAACAAATTGTGTAATGGTGTGTAAAGCTAGATATTGCTTTGTAAATATATATTATATCTCAATTTCTTGTCTAGGTTCAAATTCAGCTGTTAGCATGGAACTTTCAGAACCTGTTGGTAAGAAAATTTCTGACCATATTAATACAGTAATAAGAAACTCTTTCACTCTCAAGATTTAAGGTGCAAATGTAAGTGTTATGATTATTATAATGCCTTCATTTAAAACTGACATTGAGTCTTTGCTATGAAGATTTAGAAAGCAGAACTAATTAGACATTAATACTGCTGTGACAAATTTAGTGTTGCAAATACAAAAGAATTGAATGGAGGAATGTTAAAGTCAGTTTAAATAGTTGTATCTGTTCCATTTAGTTGGTGAAAATTTTTCTTCCCTTTTGTAACTTATTACTCTTAAGGGTTTCATATTCCCAAGGTGATTAATAAACTTGAAGCCAAAGTTATTACTTGCAGAGGAAAAAGAAAAGATCTTCTAAATTCTTTCACACTTTCCTATGTTCTGATTTTAAAATTTCTCTTTTTCTACTGTCAGGACATCTTAACACTGGAATAACAGGGCTGTTAAGAATGTTAAGATCTCCTGCTTACATGTTGTTTGTCCTAATGAAAAGGAAGCTTTGGTAAAATAGCAACTCTCATAGTATCTGAGTCAAGCTGTGATGCCAGCAGTGTGGCCAGCTTGAAAGCTATTATCCACTTCTGTTGTGAAAGATTTTCTTGCTTATATATCACTAGACATTAGGAAATGGAGCTAAATATGCCAAGTTCCATTTATTGAAAGCACCTATGTTTTAAAGTACCTGTATATGTTACAGATCTTTTTTAGAATACTAAATTAAAATGCCTTCTTTCAGTAGAAAATGGAGAGACAGAAATGTCCCCAGAAGAATCATGGGAGCACAAAGAAGAAATAAGTGAAGCAGAGCCAGGGGGTGGTTCCTTAGGAGATGGAAAACCCCCAGAAGAAAATGCCCAAGAAATGATGGAGGAAGAAGAGGAAATACCAAAACCTAAATCTGTGGTTGCACCACCAGGTGCTCCTAAAAAAGAACATGTAAATGTAGTATTCATTGGGCATGTAGGTAAGTTACTCATAGCTATGATTGGGTACATAAAACAGAACATCTTTTTAATAACTTGGAGATGTTTCATGAAAATGAACTGATTTGCTAGATTATTTAGCTGGCAGAAAGTTGTCAACAAATACTTTGTTCTCAAAGGGTGGGCAGATGAACAATTCTGTAATGGCATGGAAGCTGGGAGAAAAGCTTCAGTATATTTTTATATAATGTGTAAATTAGCCTTTGATGATAGCTGAGCATATTATGATATCTTAATATCCTAGGGAACTTAATTTATTAATTTTATTGTATTAACTTTACTGTGTAGTTTAATGTTGTGGTATATGAGAATTAGTAATAGGTTGCTGATTTAGCAACCCCTTACCCCCCACCCATTTGATTTACTTAGATATTTAATCATCTAACCTATCCCCAAAATTCTGAGGAGAAAAATAATACAATTATGTGTCCTTTTTTCCCCCCCCTTTTATCTCTGCTTTCCCCTGAATATGATAATACACCCTTCTACTTTTTTAGTAGCAAGAACTCCTTTGAAATTTGTATAGGAACACTAATCTCTACCAAAAGTGAAAGGCAGACTACTTAAATGTAGTTTCAGCTCTTGGCTCTTTTTGCTGTTCTCTAAGGCTCCCTTAGGGTTTTTTGTTTTTTCCTAAAGTAGGTTGTTGTTGTTTTTTAAAAAAACACCATATTTTTATTGATTTCAAAGGTGAAGGGAGAAAGAGAGGCAGAAACATCAATGATGAGAATCATTGATCGGCTGCCTCCTGTACACCCCATACTGGGGATTGAGCCCACAACCTGGGCATATGTTCTGACGAGGAATCAAACTGTGACCTCCTGGTTCATAGGTACCAGTAGATGCTCAACCACTAAGCCATGCTGGCAGGGCTACCCTTACGTAATTTCTATTCATTTGCTGCCTGGCTCTTAGCTGAAGGTCAGGGAATACTCTGTTTAAAAATTCTTTCTTTTGTTCTTTATCAGTAAAGTAGTTCTAAATCATTATCAAGCTGTTAGGGGGACTTAGTAGCTCCTTTTTCCAAGGGAGAAGGTAACTAACCAATAGATTCCTACAGTTTCTGTTGCTTTTGCACGATTTAATTATATAGTATATGCTAAACCATATCTTCATAGTTCTGTTATATGTATATACTGGTTGGCTTTTTAAAATTTTTTTTATACCTATGCTTAGCATATTGTTGATGTTATTACTTTTAGATGCTGGCAAGTCAACCATTGGAGGACAAATAATGTAAGTATATTTTTTCTTATATAATAGAATTAACTCAATTGAATGAATTTTGGGAATTGTCAACTTTCATAAAATCATACAAAGGAGATTACCCCAAGTTAAGGAAAATCTATATATATAAAGAGCCAGGGACCGTCACATCTGAAATAACCGAATGGACGACCAAACGACTGAGCAGCAAGCTGTGTGGGGTGACCAGCCTGGCCTAGGGGGGCAATGAGGGGTGACCAGGCTGGCAGGGGTCGCAGTTGGTGGCAACCAGGTTGGCAGGGGGGTGCCGTGAAGGGTGACCAAGCCGGCTGGGGGAAAGTTGGGCGACCAGGCTGCTGGTGGGGGGCAGGGGGGACAGTTAGGGGCAACCATGCCAGCAGAGGGGGGCAGATGGGGGTGACCAGCCTGGCAGAGGTGGGCAGTGAGGGGAGACCAGCCTGGCAGAGGGGGCATTTGGGGGCGACCAGGCCGGTTGGGGGTCAGTTGTGGGTGACCAGGCCAGCAGGGGAGCAGTTGGGGGCAACCAGGCTGGCAGGGGGGCAATCAGGCAGTCAGGCAGATGAGCAGTTAGGAGCCAGAGGTTCTGGATTATGAAAGGGATATCCAACTGCCGGTTTAGGCCCTATCCCCAGGATTGGGCCTAAACCGGCAGTCAGACATCCCCCGAGGGGTCCCAGATTGGAGAGGGTGCAGGCTGGCCTGAGGGGGGGGACCCCCCACACACACACAAATTTTGTGCACTGGGCCTCTAGTTAATAATAAAATGACATTACCTGTAGAGAAGACTGATAGTAAGGAGTAATTTTTGCAATGTGATCATTAGTATTTTCTGATGGATTATAGGCCATCACTAAAATTCTTTCATGATCACTGTCAGACTCTGATGTTACATGAATTAAATATACTTCTGAAAATTACCTTTTACATTTTTTATAAAAACTAATAAAGAACCAACCCTCACTTATAGGAAATTTTACTCTTTGAATATAATTTTCTTGGAAATAATAGAAACCAGCTCTTGAACCTGGTGCATAAAGAGAACTGGCGTTTCCTCATCATCAACTCCTTAAATTTATGTGGATTTAATCAAATATAAGGTAGTCTGGCTAACATGCTAAGATAATTTTTTATTATATTATGTAAGTTATTAAGGTATGAAGACACCACGGTTGGCCTTCAGGAACATATTCTAGTATTGAAAAATCTTTTAAATTCACAGGTCCTAAATATTTAATCCCTCTTAGATTAGATCCATTTTTTAAAACTGTCATCAGAGGATCTGATGTCATCATCTATGTCATCATCTTGTCTTATTAAGTAATCTTAATTGATAATCTTTCCAATTCTCACTTTTGAAGATTCCCCAACAGACTCTAAAACAAGGATCCTCTTCTAAGGCTCTACGGATAATAGTGTTGGGCCCATTTGATGATTTTTTAGAAGAATGTATATTTTTTGGTTATGGGGTGTAATTTTCATTGGTATTTCACTGGGATTCCATACTTAAATGGTTAGAAACATGCACTACAGATGACTGCACAGAGAACCCCATAGAGATGAAAGCTAGAACTGGAATTCCTAAGGAAGTATTTTAAAACTAGAGGCCCGGTGCACGAAATTCATGCACAGGTGAGGGGGGGCCCTAGGTCTGACCGGCGATCAGGGCCTATCGGGGCTGGGCTGGCTGGGGCCTGTTGGCTGGGAAAAGGGACCGGGGGAGGGACCGGGGGAGGTTGGCTGGCCATGGGAGGTTGGCTGTGGGAGTGCACTGACCACCAGGGGGCAGCTCCTGCATTGAGTGTCTGCCCCTGGTGGTCAGTGCGCATCATAGTGACTGATCAACAGGTCGTTCTGGTCATCCGGTTGTAATAGTGGCTTAGTCTTTTATATACATAGATAATCTCACTTTGATAAATAATATATTTAAAGTATTAAAGTATATTAGTAAGACTTAATTGCCTGGGCAACACTGTTGGAATCATTTTATATAGCATTTACATTTGCTTTTTAAAAGAAACTTTTATTGCTTTGGCCAGTGTGGCTCGGTTGGGTGTCATCCCGTGCAGCAAAAGAGATTGCTGGTTTGATTTCTGGTCAGGTCACATGCCTGGGTTGTGGGCTGGATTCCTGGTAGTGTGCATGCAAGAGGCAACCGATGTTGAGCTCTCACCTAGATGTTTCTTTCTCTTCTCCCTTCCTCTCTCTCTCAAAGTCAATAAACTATTCTAAAATAAATAATAAATAAATATAATAAACTTTTATTCTGAATTAATTTTAGACTTTACAGAAAGGTTGTAAAAAAAAAGTACATACTTTCCATATATTTTTCACTTAGCCTACCCTAATGGAAACATCTTACATAACTGTAGTATAATCATTAAAACTAAAAAGCTAACATTGCTCTAATACTATTAATTAGATTACAGATGTGTTTGAATTTCACCAGTTTTTGCAGTAATATTTTTCTGTTTTAGAATTCCATTTTGTGTTTGTTTTGTCTCCTTTAACTTGTAATATTTCCTCAGTCTTGTCTTTCACCACCTTCATCATTTGAAGATTGCTATTCAGTTATTTTATAGGATACTAGAGGCCCGGTGCAGGAAATTCATGCACTCGCGGGAGGGGGGCATCCCTCAGCCTGGCCTGCGCCCTCTCGCAGTCTGGGAGCCCTCAGGGGATGTCCAACGTGGGTCTAAGCCATCAGTTGGACATCCTTAGTGCTGCCGCGGAGGCTGGAGAGGCTCCTGCCACAGCCACTGCGCTCGCCAACTGTGAGCCTGGCTCAGGGCTTCTGGCTGAGCAGCGCTCCCCCTGTGGGAGCGCACTGACCACCAGGGGGCAGCTCCTGCGTTGAGCGTCTGCCCCCTGGTGGTCAGTGCATGCCATAGCAACCGATCATTCTGCCGTTCAGTTGATTTGCATGTTAGCCATTTATTATATAGGACTAGGGGCCTGATGCTTGAAATTCTTGCAAGAGAAGGCCTTCCTTCCCCCAGCTGCTGGCACCAGCTTCCCTCCCGCACCTGGGACCCAAACCTCCCTTGCAGTCACGGCTTCGTCAGGAAGGTCGTCTGGTCTAATTAGCATATTATTCTTTTACTATTATAGATTCTTCAATTGGGGTTAACTGATGTTTTTTACAATCACACTGAGGTTAGGCATTTTGGGCAAGAATATCATCAAAGACATGTTGTACTCTTAGGGCATCCAATTGGGGTAAAAGATATCAATATTCAGTATGTTTTATTTATTACTGGTGATATTTGCTAAAAATTACTTGGTTAAGGTGTTACCAGGATTCTCCACCATAAAGTTATGATTTTTCCCCTTTATTTTGTGGGAGATCATTTGAGACTATGCAAATAACTTTTCTACTGAAAGTTTCCTGATTCAAGCATCCACCAGAGGTACCTTTACTTCATTATATTTAGAATTGAAATTCTTTTTGAAGTGATTTAAAGTTTTCCTAATTTCATTGAGTAATTTGTGTTTCTTTAAATGTTTTCAGGTATTTGACTGGAATGGTTGACAAAAGGACACTTGAGAAATATGAAAGAGAAGCTAAAGAGAAAAACAGAGAAACCTGGTATACTAAACTTTTATGATACTATAAATTACTTTTAAGGAAATGCTGCCCACTTAATGCTTTTATAGTCTACTGAAATGGTGTCATAACAAAGGCAGTTTCTTTCCCCTCGTACTACATAGTCTAGATCATTTCCCGATGACTTCAAAACTTGCACAGAGAAAGTTTGGAAACATCCAAACATCCAATAATAAAAGGCTTATTGAATATATTCTAATTGGGCCATTTAATTGGGCCATTATCTAACCACTATAAAATTGCATTTAAAGAATTTATAGTAACCAGGAATAGAATATGTTACAGTGGAATTTGTGAAGAAAGCAGGAAACATCATAGTACTTAGGACACGATCATTAACTATGTAAATAAACAATGGAAAGAAAAATAATTGAAGGAATTATTGACAATGATTCCATTGAGTGGTGAGAGAAAAGGTCAACTTTTTTCAGTTTTCTAACCTTAACTTATGTTTTAAAAGTTAACAAGCTTATATGAATGGGGCATTGGTGTGCTTTATGTTGTTATATTGCTCTGTAAAGGGAAAATCTTAATGAGTATATACTATGAAATACAGATGATTAGGTAATCTAAATTAATGCCTTCTATTATGGATGATTTGAACTTAAATAAGTAATTTTTACATGGCAAATAATATTGAAATAATTTTAGCAAGTAACTATTGCTCCCAAGTGGCAGGTTAATGGCCTTCATGTTAAAAAGACATCCTTAGACAGCCATTATTCATATTATATTTTGTGACAGATGATTATAAAAATGAAATATAGAGGAACTTATTAACTCATGGTGATATTAGCATTGGTACTTAAAGTAGTCTTTCTGTGTATGTTTCAGCTGTTTCATAAATAATGTTTGCTTCTAGAATAAATGGTTGACTGGATATATGTAAACTTTCCAAGTGTTTGAACCACATTAACATAAGTTTTACTCTCTTAATTTTCATTTCTGTCTAGTTCTGTTACTGGTTTAAATGTATGATGGACATAAAGCTAGATGTCATCAATTACACCTTTAATGGTAGAAGAATATCTTAGAAATTTTCATGTTCTTATCAGTATTATTCTTATTTTAAAATTATTTCAGGTACTTGTCTTGGGCCTTAGACACAAATCAGGAAGAACGAGACAAGGGTAAAACAGTAGAAGTGGGTCGTGCCTATTTTGAAACAGAAAAGAAGCATTTCACAATTCTAGATGCCCCTGGCCACAAGAGTTTTGTCCCAAATATGATTGGTGGTGCTTCTCAAGCTGATTTGGCTGTACTGGTAAGAAAGACATTTCTAATTCACCTTAATATTTGTTAGCAACCCCACTTAAATTTTTTAAAAAAATATATTTTTATTGATTTCAGAGAGGAAGAGAGAGGGAGGGGAAGAGAGATAGAAACATCAGTGATGAGAGAGAATCATTGATTGGCTGCCTCTTGCTCGCTCCACACTGGGGATCAAGCCCACAACCCAGGCATGTGCCCTGACCGGGAATTGAACCTTGGACCCTTCAGTCCACAGGCCGACGCTCTATCCACTGAACCACGCCAGTCGGGCCCCACTTAAATTTTTAAATATTTGAGTTTATCTGTAAAAGCTGGAATTTAGGTTATGGTGAACTATAATATACACAGTCCCAATTTTCACTTTTGTCTTACTGATCTGTGCAAGAAGTCTTTATAATTTAGTTTACCTATGAAAATATGTTTCAACTTTCCTCTGCCATTGCTATTATATATTATGTGTCAGAACTCAGTGTCCACTAAATGCCAAGCCTACAAATTAGGTAGTGAGTATGAATATGAAATGATCTACTTTTTTGAGGCCTTCCATCATTTTGCAATTTTTTTAAATCACTGTTTCAGCACTAAATCATATACATGTTTAATTTGTAACATACACAGAAGCATACTAGAATTTGGAAAATTGTGGATCGGAAGAAACATACTTAAATCTTAAATCACTTAGACATTGTGATATTTGAAAGCATGTATATTATGACTAATTTTCTTCTATATTCTTGCAGAAAGCTTCTGATAAAACCGAAAGGGAAGACATTTTATTGCTAGAAGGGTATACCTGAATGTGTAAGAATAAACTATTTGATTTCTTGGAATAGGTAATCTCTGCCAGGAAAGGAGAGTTTGAAACTGGATTTGAAAAAGGAGGACAGACAAGAGAACATGCAATGTTGGCAAAGACAGCAGGTGTAAAACACTTAATTGTGCTCATTAATAAGATGGATGATCCCACAGTGAATTGGAGCAATGAGAGGTAAGCTTACATATCTTACTGGTTTTTTATAGACATATTAGTAAAATAAAGGATGTTTTTGTTATTTTATGTTTTTCCCTTGTGGTTTTTCTAAACTTCATTTTTAAAAATTAAACTAGAGTTCAGTTGCTTTATATTGTAATTGGATTACTTATGTTATAGATACGAAGAATGTAAAGAGAAACTAGTGCCATTTTTGAAAAAAGTTGGCTTCAATCCCAAAAAGGATATTCACTTTATGCCCTGCTCAGGACTGACTGGAGCAAATCTTAAAGAGCAATCAGATTTCTGTCCTTGGTACATGTAAGTAATTCTTTTTTTCCTTTAAAAGAATTTATGTCTTAATAAGTAATTTAAGAAAATAATGAATGTAACTTTGGCTTTAAAAATACCAGGAACTTGGCCCATTTTTAACTGGGTTGTCTTTTTGTGATTGAGTTGTAAGACTTCTTTGTGCATTGGGTACCCCAAGTCTCTTAACAAATACATGATGTGCAAATGTTTTCTCCCATTCTGTGGGAGATCTTTTCACCTTCTTGATGGCGTCCTTTGAAGCATAACAGGTTTTAATTTTTATTAAATCTAGGTTATTTTTTCTTTTGCCAATTGTACATTTGGTATCATACATAGGAAAACTGCCTAATCCAGTTAGGAAGAGTTAGAACCCTATTATTGACATTTAGGTGTGCATTTCACTTTAGGCTACCTTTTTTATAAGGAGAACTCTTGATTATTATGTAGCTTTGTAAATTTTCAAATTGGGAAGGGTGAGTCTTTGAATTTTGTTATTTCCCCAAGATTGTTTGGTTATCTGGGTTCCTTGAATTTCCATATAAAATTGGGATCAGCTTGACAGTTTCTGCAAAAAAGGCAGCTGGGATTTCAACAGGATTGAATTGAATCTGTAGATCAGTTTGGAGAGCATTGCCGTCTTGACAGTATTTTATGTGTCCTATAAAGTATAGCTTTAAAGGGGAAATTATTTTATAGAATTTTCATTTCAGAGCTGGAAAAGTCCATAAAAATTAAGTAAAAGAGTGCAGTCATTTATTATAACATGTGGGCTATTTGCTATAAAATATTATTCTAAATCTCAAGTGATAATGGGGAGGTTTTTCATATTATATTCAGCTATTTTATTTTTAATTTTCTGAGGAATAAATGAAATGAATTAAATAATGATTTGGATTAATGAGATGAGTACATGGGTAGAATGAAAACATGATTATAACCATTTTTTTGTATAAAGATACAGTCATGTAACTTAATATTTTGATATTTATGTTGACCCTCTTTAATGGATATTGTTATATTCGCAGTGGATTACCATTTATTCCATATCTGGATAATTTGCCAAACTTCAATAGATCAGTTGATGGACCAATCAGGCTGCCAATTGTGGATAAATACAAGGTACCCAAAATGTTCAAGAAATTGGGTTTTATGGGAGGTGAAATAGTTGTTTTAAATTATGAAAAAACTTTAATAACAACATAGACATCTCTTTTAATGGCTGCATATTATTTTGTGGTATAGACCATAATTTATTCAACCAACTTAAATTATTTCATCTGTTTCCCAATGAGCCAATAATCTTTTAGAGAGAAACTCATACAAGTGAAATTGCTAGACTCAAAAGGATTTGCACATTAAAGTTTATGCATATTGGCAAATAACCTTTCAGAATACTGTGCTAATTTATATTGCCAGCAGCAGTATATGAGTGCTAGTTTTACCACAACCTCACCTAACTGGATGTTCTACTTTAAAAAAAAAAAGCATCATTATTTTTACTGCAATATCAGTGTAATGTTTTGCCCCTCCTCAAATACTTTATTCTTAAATCCTCACCTGAGGACTTGCTTTCATTGATTTTTAGAGAGAGGAAAAGGGAAGGGGAAGAAGGATGGAGGGGGAGGGAGGGAGGGGGAGAGAGAGGGAAAGAGGGAGGGAGGAGAGAGAGAAAGAAATATCATTGTGAGAGTGAAATATTTATCGGTTGCCTCCTGCAGGTGCCCTGATGGGGGGTCGAACCTGAAACCTGGGTATGTGCCCTGGCCAGGAATTGAGCTTTTGACTTTTGTGTACAGGACTATGCTCCAACCCACTGAGCCACTTTGGCTAGGGCTCCATACTAGATTTCTTGAACAAGTATTGCTTTTCTAATTTTATAGATAAACAGGCTCAGAGATTGCAAGAACCTGAATTTGAACAAATAATTCAGATCTTCAAACAAAATTCTGTGCCCTCTCCTGTACCATGCTTTCTTTTTAGATCTTAGGCATATTTATTTATTGAATTATAGTTGTTCACATGCTTATGAGCTAGGTATTATAGATTATTTGTTATCTATCCTGTATTTAAGATTAATTCTAAGTATTATACCACTTGTTCTAATGATTTTTATTTTTATTTTATGAGTAAGCCCTGCAAGATTTCACATGGGGTTGTTGAACTGTTGTAGAGTGGTAATAAATATTTGAAACTTTTTTTTAATTTTAAATTTCAACAGGATATGGGCACTGTGGTCCTGGGAAAGCTGGAATCAGGATCTATTAGTAAAGGCCAGCAGCTTGTGATGATGCCAAACAAGGTAAGAATTAATAATGTCCTTTCCCATTTAGCTTTTCTCTTGAAAATTTTAGCAAGAAGCCAGGACTTTTCAAAAGGTTAGGGATTTCCATGAAAATAAACTTAACTTTTAAAATCCAGGATTACATTTATTAATGTCAGGTATAAAACTTAAGAAAAAAATATGTGGCGTTATTCACTGACAAATGGGGAGAGGCCAGTGTTAGCACAGTGGTAGAGCTAAAAGCTGTACCAAGAGAACTTCAGCTCTTTTATTTTACAAGATGGAAGAGATCTGGAGTGATTAAGTGACTTGCTTCCATTAATACACTGGATTAGTAAGTGAGCCAAGGGTGGAAACTCAGGTTTAGTCACAATACAGTTAGCTTTCTTTCTCTTTTTGTATGTGGTTACATTGGATACTATAACATAATATGTTTAAGCTATGTTCCTAATTTTAAGAGTAAAGTGTTTGTCTTTATCATAAACTAGAGGCCCAGTGCATGAAATTCGTGCATGGGTAGGGTGCCTAGCGGCTGCCGGCTGCCAGCTGGGGCCTTCCTTTGTTTCGCACCACCCCCTGGTGGTCAGCGTACATCATAGCAAGCAAGCGATCGAACTCCCGAGGGGACACTTTGCATATTAAGCTTTTATATATATAGGTAGTTGTCTTGACTCTTTCCTACTTACTGTGATTTCTTCATCATTGGAGAGGGTTTTATTAAAACATGCAATATTTCTATGAATTATTCCTCTCTGTTATTTGTGACTGCTCACTTAGTGATATTTATAGATGACATGTTACTAAGAAAGTTACCTGTTTTCCAGGGAGGGCTTCTCTTAAAACTCTAAAAATGTTGTTTAATGTAGGGAAACAGATCTGAATCATCAGAGATTTTGTTAGATTTAAATGAGAATTTTTTTTACCATGCTCAATTCCAGGCACAGTGAATTAGAAAAGATGTCTGTTGTCAATGTAGTGTTTAAGTATAATTGACACTTTACAAATTATACTCTGGGCGTTTCTTGATGCCTTAGGCATTGGGGATTAGAGTATTCCACCATAGTATTTTTATTCTAAAGTGTTTCTGCATTAAAGCCTACTTTTTCTGCAACTTGAAAGTCAGTGACTACTGAATGAAAATAATAGTTGATTTGAATTTGTGTAGAGTAGTCATTAGAAATACAGTTGATCATGGGAGATGGGAGTGGGATTGGTGTTTGCCAGGGGTTGGGGACGGGAGAATGGGGAGTGACTGCTTAATGGGTACAGTGTTTCCTTTTGGAGTGATGAAAAGTTTTGGAACTAGATAGTGATTATGATTGTAGGGCATTGTGTGACTGTATTAGATGCCACTGAATTGTACAGTGTAAAATGATTTAAAAAGACAAATGTTATGTGGTATTTCACCACCACAGAAAGAAAAGTACAATTCACTATAGGCATGGGCCTTAATATAGTAGTTATAGACCAGGGGTGGGGAATGTCCGGCCTGCGAGCTTTAGTCTGGCCCTGCCAAGGCATTAGGGGCAAGTTAATTAAATGTTTGACCAAATACAGCAGGCTAATTTTTAAGTTGATAATTTTATATGGCCCGAAAGTGATGTTATAAATATTCAAATGGCCTTTGGCAGTAAAAAGGTTCCCCACCCCTGTTATAGACAGAGTGGCTTTTCTCTGTGGAAGCTGTCACTTTATACTAATTACTTACTGGGCAGGTGTAGCATATCTTATAGTTGGTTAAGTAAGCCTTTAAAACTCAGTTCACTTTTGTCCTCAATCTCTGTGGAACAGTTAAATATTTAAAAGATACAGATGTCATACTGCTTTACATTTGAAAATTAATGGGTAGGCAACCTATGGATTGGGAGAAAATAATTGCATATCCTAAATCTGGTAAGAGGTTAATATGCAGAATATATAAAGAACTCCTACAACTCAACACAAAAAATAAGCCACCTGACTAAAAACACAAGCAAAGAGCTTAAATTTACATTTCTCCAAAGATGTACAAATAGCCAATGAGTACATGAAAAATGATCAATATCATTAATCATTAGGTAAATGCAAATCAAAATCACAATCAGAAAATATTTCACACCCATCTGTATGGCCACTATAAAAAACAAACCAGAAAATAGCCGTGGCCAGGTAGCTCAGTTGGATGGAGGGTCACCCTGTACACCAAAAGGATGTAGATTCAATCCCTAGTCAGGTTGGGTATGGGAGGCAACTGATGTCTCTTTCCCTTTCCTTTCCTCTCTCTCAAAATAAAACATATCCTTGGGTGGGAATTTTAAAAATCCTTTTTTTAAAACCCAGAAAATAACAAATGTTGGCAATGGGAAGATTGGAACCCTTGTTCACTGTTGGTGGGTGGGACTGTAAAATTGTTCAGCTGCCATGGGAAACATAATGGTGTTTCCCCCAAAAAAATTAAAAATAGAATAAAACCATATATATAATCTAGTAGTTTCACTTCTAGGTATGTAACCCCCCCCCCCCCAAATTAAAAACAGAGCCTCAAAGAGATATTTGTACACCCATGTTCATAACAGCATTGCTCGCAGTTGCCAAAAGGTGGAAGCAACCCAGGTGTCTGGCAGATTAACAGATAATCAAAATGTACATATGTATAAGTGGATTATTATTCAACCACAGAAAAGAAAATTCTGACATATGCTATACAATATGGATGAACCTTGAGGACGTTATGCTAACTGAAATAAACCAGTCACAATGATTCCAGTTCTATGAGGTACCTAGAGTAGTCCTCAGATTTCATAGAAGCAAAGTAGATGGTGGTTTCCAGGGCTTGTGGGGAGGGAATAATGGGGAGTTGTTTAATGGTGTAGTTTCAATTTTGTAAGATGAAAAATTTTCAGAACTCAAGATTGGTTGTATACAGTATGTACTTAATACTATTGGACTGACAAAATGTTCAAGGGGATACATTTTATGTTCTGTATTTTACCACAGTATTTAAAAAGTATTTAAAAATTAATGAGTAAAATTAAAAATTGATCATTTTTTCATTTGCTATTTACAAAATTGTTCTAATGTACAGATTGATATTTAGACCTTTTTTAGATTGCTGGTTTGTTAACTTCTGGTTCTTAAGGAGTCTATGGAAGCCTATGCTTCTAATGCCTGCATTACTTCTACTTCCTATGCTGGGCTGTAGCAGTAAAGTGAAGCAAAAGAAGTGTTGTTGGAGGATAAAAAACTATCTGTGTGATGGAATTTCTGAATATTGCTTTGATATTTAAAAATTGGCTTTGAGTTTGTATGCAAAAAAGTTTGAGTTAACTGAATCTGCAAGTTTAGTGCAATGTGGCTTTTCCCCCACTTCAGTGCAGTAATCTGAGGGCTCATTTCTGATAATTTGAGATACCAAAAGGATATTGTATAAACTCCAGCTCATATGTTATTAGGAATGTGGACTCAAACATTTAAAATCATACCCTATCTAATAAAAGACAAAGATGCTAATTGACCGTACCTTCGCTACTCCCATCAGCCCATCAGAGTGATATGCAAATTAACCGCCAACAAAGATGTGGCTAATTTGCATACTGCAGGCAGGGCGGGCCAGCGCGAGCTGCCAGCCAGGACCCCCGTTTGCCACCTAAGCCCCACCACCAGCCGGGACCCCATGTGCGGCCCTGGGCAGTGGGACACCCCCCCACCCCCTTCCCCATGTGCGGCCCTGGGCAGTGCAATGGCCTGAGGAAGCCCTATTCTTGTAGGAATCTTGCTGCAACAGGCCGCTAGTACTGTATAATAGGTAAACACATTGCAGGCTTGTCTCCAAAACTTGTTGAACTGATAAGACAGGGTATCACACCTCAGTCAAGACAAGGGGCATCTATGAAGACAGTTGTAGATACCCTTTACTTATAAATGTTAACCACTTATCCCTATCAGATTGCTTAAATATAGCCTAAACTCACTCCTTGCACAGCTACTACATGTTGAATCTCTAGAAAATATGGAAATGTTTAGTTATCTTTAATACCTTTCATAAACTAAGAGAAGTTGTTGGTTTCAATCTTAATTTTTGAGTAATTACGGTGAACAGTAATGATTCCTTGGGGGGAGTATAAAGGAAAGGCTTCCCAGAGGGGATAGAGTAGCGGTTCTCAACCTGTGGGTCGAACGACCCTTTGACAGGGGTCGCCTAAGACCATCAGAAAACACGTATATAATTACACTGGGGGCCCAGTGCACAAATTTGTGCACCTTGAAAGGAACTGTGGGCTGTGAGGCTGTGGTGGGCACAGGGGTGGGTCTTGGCCCATCCTTCATGCCCCTGCTGGCCCCTCCTGCGTGGCCCCTGGTCCCCTCTCTGCTGGCAGCCCCACTCCCGTTGCTGCCAATCCCATGCACTGACAGTGCCGACCCTGCTTGCACCCACTCATGGCGCAGAGCAATTGGGGCCAGCATCAGCAGTGGGTGAGAGCGAGGCTGGCGCCATCAGCGGGCGTGAGCAGTGACTGCTGCTCTGATCGCCCCTCAGGAGCAGGGGGAGGTGGAGAAGCCCTGAGGGGTGATCGGGCCAGCGCCGCCATTTGCACCCACTGAGAGCGCTGAGCAATTGGGGCTGGCGCCAGGTGCCAGCAGTGGGTGTGAGTGGTGGCTCCAGTGCCGGCAGTGGGTGAAGTGCAGGGCAGGACTGTTGTGCACGGGAGCAAAGAATATTTAGTAACCACCAGAGGCTCGCCCTGATGACAGTGATTGGCACCCCGCCTTGGACTGGCACTCTCACTCACCTTCTTTACCATCTGGCTATGAACGACGCCCACTATGTCCTGCGCTTGCTCCCTGGTGGTCAGTACACATCATAGCGACCCGTTGTTCATTTGTTCTGCCATTCAGTCTATTTGCTTATTAGCCTTTTATTATATAGGATATTGTTTTTGTGATTAATCACTATGCTTTAATTATGTTCAATTTGTAACAATGAAATTGGGGGTCACCACAACATGAGGAACTGTATTAAAGGGTCGCAGCATTAAGAAGGTTGAGAACCACTGGGATAGAGTGTGCCTGCTCTGTTTTTAAACTTTGACTGAGATTACCAAGTGGATTAAGTTAATCTTACACTAGCTCTATTGTGTTTAGCCATACAAGGCCATGAGGGATTGTTATGTTGAGTTATTAGGACAAAAAAATAGTGAACAATAGTTTGTACATGGTAGAACTGCTAAGATCTACCCCTTTATCCTGCTGTTACTACAAAGAGCTTAGCTAACAAATATGGCTCTATTTCACTTAGGATGAATTTCAGTAGAACAGGTATCATTAAGATATAAGCGACCTTTTGGGAAAGAATATCATGCAGAAGAGGGGTAAAGGTACTAGAGCTTAGCAAGTGACTGTAGCATTCTGGTATGGAATATATTGATCGGCATTTTTCACTGTTCATTTACTATCATGAGATAATTCATTTTGTCTTGAAGGCTATTTTATTTGGTTTTCTGGTATATATTTTTGAAAATATTTTTGTTCCCATTCTGATTTTATAGAGAGGAAGGGAGGAGGGAGAGAGAGGGAGAGAGAGAAACACTGATGTGAGAGAAAAATACTGATTGGTTGCTTCCCGCCCACACCCAACCAACCTGCTACCTGGCACATGCTCTGACTGGGAATCAAACCAGTGACCTTTTGGTGCATGGGTTGATGCTCAACCAATTGAGCCACACCAACTCGGGCAGTTTTCTGGTTGATGTTTTAAAAATCTGAATTATCTCAAAGGGCACAAATGGAAATACTTGTGGGTATTACTTTTAACATTTCCCCATCTATATATCTTTTTAAAATTTGTGCAGCTATCACCATTAATTCCAGAATACTTTATCACCCCAAAGGAAAACCTATAATCATTAGTATGCTTATTTTAAATCCTCTCCCCTTTCTCACCCTCCAAATCCTCTCCCATCTTGCAGCCATCAAAATGTTATCTAAAAAGTATACTCTTGCCGAAACCGGTTTGGCTCAGTGGATGGGGCGTCAGCCTGCGGACTGAAAGGTTGCAGGTTCGATTCCGGTCAAGGGCATGTACCTTGGTTGCGGGCACATCCCCAGTGGGAGATGTGCAGGAGGCAGCTGATCGATGTTTCTCTCTCATCGATGTTTCTAACTATCTCTCTCCCTTCCTCTCTGTAGAAAATCAATAAAATATATTTTTTAAAAAAATTTAAAAATAAATAAATAAATAAAAGGTATACTCTTGCCCTCGCCATATTTGCTAAGTGGTTAGAGCGTTGGCCTGCCCACGAAAGGGTTGTGGGTTTGGTTCCCAGTCAAGGGCATGTACCTGGGTTGCTGGTTTGCTCTCTGGCCCTGGTCGGCGGCCCGTGTGGGAGGCAACCAATTGAGGTGTCTCTCTCACATTGGTGTTTCTCTTTCTCTCCTTATCCTCTCCGTTCCACTCTCTGAAAAGCAATGGAAAAAAATATCCTCATGTGAGGATTAAAAAAAAAAATTACTCTTCAGGTATTTGGGGATTGATAGGTAATGGAATACATGTAAGTTAAATCCTAAATTCCACAATAAAAATTATATCCATAAAATTAAAATCCATGTTTGATATATTTTTATTGTTGAGTATTACAGATGTCCTCTTACACTCTTTTTCCCTGCCCAAACCCACCCCACCCAGACCTTCACCATCCTACTATCTGTGTCCATGGGTAATGCATATCCTATCTAATAATAGAGAAACATGGTAATTAGCCATAACTTTGCTACCCTTCCCATTGGCTAATCAGCGGGATATGCAAATTAACTGCCAGCCAAGATGGCGGTCGGCAGCCAGGAAGCTGAAATGAACATGAGGCTTGCTTGATCCAGTGATGGAGGAATCCAACGTTCCCTGCCTGCTGCTGCTGGGCTCTGAGCTCCGGATGCAACTATGTTGCAATTATAGAACCTAAACAAACCCCAGAAACCTGCTTTCAGCCAGCACGGCCTCAGAGCTTAGAGCGGCCAGTGATGGCAACAGATTTTCAATTATAGAATCTAAACAAACCCAGGTACCGGCTTTCAGCCAGCAACGGCCTCAGAGCTAAAGCCGGCTCTCAGCTCCAGTGACAGCCATAGAAGGTAAATAAATCCCAGAATAAAAAAAAAGAAAAGAAAAGAAAAAAGGAGAGACTGGGAGCTTCAGCCACCCACCAGCCTGAAAACAGCCCTCAGCCCCTCACCCAGACTGGCCAGGCACCCCAGTGGGGACCCCCACCCTGAAGGGGGTGGGACCAGCTGTAAACAGCCATCAGCCTGTCATCCAGGCTGGCCAGGCACCCCAGTGGGTACCTGCATGTAAGTTCTTTGGTTCATCTCTTCCCACTGCCCCCCTTCCCTCTGAGATTCATCAGTCTGTTCCATGTTTCCATGCCTCTGGTTCTATTTTACTCATCAGTTTATTCTGTTCATTAGATTCCTTGTTTATTTTGATTTTTAAGATTCAATTATTGATACATATTTATTGCCATTTTATTGCTCATATTTTTTTATCTTCTTTTTTCCCTTCTTCCTCTTAAAGAATACCATTCAACATTTCATGTAATAATGGTTTGGTGGTGAACTCCTTTCGCTTTTTCTTGTCTGTGAAGCTCTTTATCTGACTTTTCAATTCTAAACAATACCTTTGCTGGGATGTTCTTTGGTATGGGCCTCATTGGGTTTATCTTGTTTGGGACTCTACTTCCTGATCTATTTCTTTCATCAGATAGGGGAAGTTTTCTGTCATTATTTCTTCAAATAGGTTTTCAATTTCTTGCTCCTCCTCTTCTCTTTCCGGCACCCCCTTGATGCATATATTGGTATGCTTGAAGTTGTCCCAGAGGCTTTTTTCACTATCTTCTTACTTTTGGATATTTTTTTCTTATTGTTTTTCTGATTGGGTGTGTTTTGCTTCCTCATATTCCAAGTCACTGATTTTATTCTTGGCATCCTCTACTCCAGGGGTCCTCAAACTACGGCCTGCGGGCCACATGCAAATACAAATATTGTATTTGTTCCCATTTTGTTTTTTTACTTCAAAGTAAGATATGTGCAGTGTGCATAGGACTTTGTTCATAGTTTTTTTTTAAACTATAGTCCGGCCCTCCAACGGTCTGAGGGACAGTGAACTGGCCCCTGTTTAAAAAGTTTGAGGACCCCTGCTCTACTCTGTTGATTCACTATAAATTTTTCATTTCAGTTAGTATATCCATCATTTCTGACTGGTCCCTTTTCATGTCTTTGACAGTCTCACTAAGTTCCTTGATATTCTCACTAAGTTCCTTGAAGCTCTCATTAATTTACTTGAGCATCTTTATAATCATTGTTTTGAACTCTCTATCTAGTAGTTTGCTTCCATTTCTTTTAGTTCTTTCTCTGGAATTTTCTTCTGTTCTTTTGTTTGTGACATGTTTCTTTGTCTCTGCATTTTGGCTGCTTCCCTGTGTTTGTTTCTATGTATTACGTAGAGCTGCTATGTCTCCTGGAATTGATAGAGTGGCCTTGTGTAGTAGATGTTCTGTAGACCCCAGTGACTCAGCCTCCCCAGTCACCTGAGCAAGGCATGCTAGGTATGCTCCTGTGTGAGCTGTGTGCACCGTCCTGTGTAGTTGAGCCTTGATGGATGTTAGTGTCTTTGGGAGTTATTGACCCCCTGGCCAATTGGATATGAGACCCAGCTGTGACTACAGAGGGAAGTGCAGGAGACACCCCTATGGAACAGTACTTGCTTCAGTGGGGCTTTGGTGCTCACTGAGTTTGCCCCTTGAATGTGTCGCTGGTGGATGTGGTAAAGTTGTTACCTGGAGTGATCTGAAGATGTCCACCAGGTGCACAGGCTAAGGGGCCACCCTGGAGGTGCAAATGGATAACAGATAATTTTAATTGGCAGTTGTCCTTCGGCGTATGATTTTTATAAAAGTTCATGTCATACAAATGTAATAAGTATTTTGGATAATCAGCAAGCACGGAAAAATGCAACAACTCAATAAACAGGTTGTTTTATGATCTGCAATGCAATGAGTGAAAGTGTCAGAAAACCTCCAATCTCGGTTTCTTTTTAAGCACAACGTGGAAGTTCTTGGAATCCTTTCTGATGATGTAGAAACTGATTCTGTAGCCCCAGGTGAAAACCTCAAAATCAGACTGAAAGGAATTGAAGAAGAGGAGATTCTTCCAGGATTTATACTTTGTGATCCTAATAATCTTTGTCATTCTGGACGCACATTTGATGCCCAGGTAAACCAGTTATTATACTTATCTCAGTGATGTTTACTGTTCAGATGAAATTTGAATTTAAATGTCCTTTGTTCGGGTTATTGATGACATGTCATCGTGCGTAGAAGGGGAATTGAAATAGAATAAATCGTGTGTGTGTCACAACAGCCATAAGGTAGGTATCTTACAATATAAGGTCTTCTTACTGGTTAGATAGTATTCTTTGTAAATTCCTTTTTTTCTAATCTGTTTATATCATTACTCAGTGTCTTTCACTTTAAATAGAGCAAGTTGCCTTGGAAGTCATGGTTTGTCTGCTCCTTTAGCGCAAATAACTCTCCAAACAGAAAAACATGCCCAATTTTTTCTTATTAGTAACCTGACTCTCCCCAGGACAGTGACAGAATAAATTATTGGTGTAGCTCACAGAATTTTTCAATTCTTTTACAAAGTATAATAACTAATCAAATTAAATTCTGATGCCAGATGCAAGGTTGTTTACTTTTACTGGACCTTAGATATTGAGACATGGATAAAACTATGATGTTCACATCTAGTGGTGGAGGGAACCCAGTAGCATGTGAGCAGTAATGATTCCTTGGGGGAGGTATAAGGGAAAGGTTTCCACTAGGGGAAAGAGTCTGCCTGCTGTTTTGAAAGTTTGGGTACTTGCCAAGAAGATCAGTAGGTTAAGGATATCAGAGTTCATTATTCGAGGTCAAGTGACCTGACCTATCACTTCTAGCACAAAAATAACTTTTAAGATAGTAAGTTATATATTCTTGTGATACTATATACACTTTAGCGCATTCAATTTTTTTGCCCTGGGTATAAAGATGTGAATTTTCTTTTTGTTTGACAGATAGTGATTATAGAGCACAAATCCATCATCTGCCCAGGTTATAATGCGGTGCTGCATATTCATACCTGTATTGAGGAAGTTGAAATAACAGTGAGTATTAAGATAATTGGGGGGTTTTGTTTGTTTGTCTTAAGGCCATTTCATCTTAATAATTTCTTACCAATAGTAGAGATATACTCTTATTTGCATGCCTATTCTTAAAGATTCTTTTATTTGGCATTATTCTGATGTCTTTTCATCCTTTTATCTTGGATAGGCCTTAATTTGCTTGGTAGACAAAAAATCAGGAGAAAAAAGTAAGACTCGACCCCGTTTTGTGAAACAAGATCAAGTATGCATTGCTCGCTTAAGGACAGCAGGAACCATCTGCCTTGAGACCTTTAAAGACTTCCCTCAGATGGGTCGATTTACTTTGAGAGATGAGGGTAAGCCTTTAAATTGATGTGTAGTAGTATGTCTAAAATAGACTCTTCACCAGAGTACAGTTCATAGAGAACCTGGGTGCATGTTTTATGAGTTAAATGAGTTGGACAACAGGTAAAATTAGCTATGCATTTTAGCAGTAATGCTCTAGAACAGCGGTTCTCAACCTGGGGGTCGAACGACCCTTTCACAGGGGCCGCCTAAGACCATCGGAAAATACATATATAATTACATATTGTTTTTGTGATTAATCACTATGCTTTAATTATGTTCAATTTGTAACAATGAAATTGGGGGTCACCACAACATGAGGAACTGTATTAAAGGGTCGGGGCATTAGGAAGGTTGAGAACCACTATTCTAGAAGAATTTTGATATTTTGCCAGTAGTGAGTTTTGAGAGCCATTTATTTACTATAAGCAAGACATTTCTGTGATGTAATCCTTTATAATATATGTGATTAAAACCCATCTTGCCCTGTTAAGATTTTGCAAGGTGAGCTTGAGGTACATATCTTGTCTTTGTGGTCAGAGGAAATCATTTAAAAATCAAATATAATACATTTACTGCACTGATACGAGGGTGGGAATAAAAGGGATATATAGATTGATTGCCTTTTAACACTTGTTTTTTTAGAGGGTTAATATTCATGCTCTTTTTTGAGTTAATCTGAAGAGCTGTAATTTTTGTCTTGTGGCCATGAAATTCTTTGGTATCATGAAAACAAAATGATTTTTACTAAACATTTCTCTATAGATTGTTAACTTAGATAACTATTTTAAGATTGGAAAATTTATATAAAACTTTGGTTCCATTGAAATATAGAATACAATTGTATGTTCAAATTCCATTCAGCAAAAAATTGACTGTATTGCAAGTCAAGAACTGTGCTTAGCACTGGAAATATAATGATAAATGTGGTTGCTGCACCTTAGTTCTAGTTCAGGGAAATCTTTATAAAGACACTATAGAGTTCTTCAAATTTTTTATTTTAAAAATCTGCTTGATGTTAGTGAAATTCACTGATTACTGGTTGTCCTATTAATATTACAAAGTTAGCCCAACTGGCCTGTGGCTCAGCGGTTGAGTGCCACCTATGAGCCAGGAGGTCACGGTTCGATTCCCAGACAGAGCACATGACCGGGTTGTGGGCTAGATCCCCAGTGTGGGCAGTGAAGGAGGCAGCCAATCAATGATTCTCTCTCATCATTGATGTTTCTATCTCTTTCTCCCTCTCCCTCTTAAAACAATAAAAATATCTTTTAAAAAAAATATATATATCAAAATTACAGAGGAAGTAAAAATAAAATTACAGAGGAAATTAATGTAGGATGAATTTTTAACCCCCAATAATTATTTTTTCCTAAATATAGTGGAAACTCGTTTATCGAATTTAATTCATTCCAAAAGGCTGCTCAAGAAGTGATTTGTTCAAAAACTGAATCATTTTTCCCCATTAGAAATTATGTAAATTGAATTAATTCATTCCAAACACCCAAATGATTGTTTCAACTTTTCTTATATACAGTACATGCTTAATGTACTGTTTAATTTATAAATAAATACTTCTTTTCTTAAATTTATCAAACCACCCCCTACTAGCCTTAAAGGAATTTTTTTCTGTATCATTGCCTCCAAAATGCTATCACCTTACTGCTTTTCCTTTATCCAAATTTGATTGCTGTTTGTGAGCACTTTCAGACCCTTAGCAACATTAGCACTCTTTTTTAAAAAAAAAAATTTTTATTGATTTCAGAGAGGGAGAGGGAGAGATAGAAATATTAATGATGAAAATCATTGATCGATGCCTCCTGCATGGCCCCCACTGGGGATTAAGCCTGCAATCCTGGCATATGCCCTTGACCACAGTCAAACCCGGGCTAGGGCAGTGGTCGGCAAACCGCGGCTTGTGAGCCACATGCGGCTCTTTGGCCCCTTGAGTGTGGCTCTTCCACAAAATACCATGTGCAGGCGCGCACGTACAGTGCGATTGAAACTTACTGGCCCATGCGCAGAAGTCGGTTTTCAGCCTGGGCGAGTCTATTTTGAAGAAGTGGCGTTAGAAGTGGGGGGTGTCGGTCCTTCGGTGACGGGAGACGCAGCGCGGGGGAGGTTCACCGAGGTCGACCCCTCCCAACTCTCCCATCCACACTGGTGTATCTGAAACAAGTATACAAGACAAGTGTGGATGGGAGAGTTGGAAGGGGTCGACCTCGGCGAACGTACCTCAATTAGATTGAGGACGTTTTTAGCAAAGGCCAGCTTAGGAGTACCCTAATTAAGTTGATAACAATGTACCTGCCTATATAGTTTAAGTTTAAAAAATTTGGCTCTCAAAAGAAATTTCAGTCATTGTACTGTTGATATTTGGCTCTGTTGACTAATGAGTTTGCCAACCACTGGGCTAGGGCAACATTAGCATTCTGTCCTTTGCTTGTTGTCTGAGACCCCTTTTGTCATGCTGAAGTATCAGCATGAAAGGATTGTCAGGTGGAAAACCCAGACTTTTTTTTTTCTGTGAACATCTTGGTCAAGAACCAAATTGTTCAAGATGGGAGACCTTCGAGAAATGAGGTTTCACTGTAGTAGGTTGATTTTTAGTTTTTTCCCCCCATAAGACGGAGAGCCCCTTTTAACATCTTTGAGATAATTCATACTATGAAATAGACCTGTTGTAAGTGTGCAATGCAATGAATTTTAATATCTTTACAGAGTTGTGCAGTCATCGCATTCTAATTTTAGAATGTTTATTATAGCTAAAAAGAAGCCCTTTTACCTATTTACAGTTATCTCCTACTCCTACCCCCAGACCTAGGCAATCACAGCATTTTTTTCTATTTGCCTTATTGGATAAGCCATATAAATAGAACATAAAATTTGTGGTCTTTAGTGTCTAGTTTATTCCACTCAGTATGGTGTGTGTTTTTCAAAAAATCTTCACTGGAGGGTGGCTTTTAAAAAAATTATTTTTAGGGAGAGGAAGGAGAAAAAGGGAAACATCAATTTGAGAGAGACATCGATCAGTTGCCTCCTGTATTATGTCCAATAGCACCTGCAACCTAGATATGTGCTGCCCTGACCAGGAGTCAAAACCACAACCTTTTGGTGTACGGGTTGACACTCCAACCAATTGAGCCACCAGGCAGGGCCACTCAGTGTGTTTTTTGAGATTCAACCATGTTATATATCATGTATTGTATATGTCATTCCTTTTTGTTGCCAAATAGTATTCAAGTGTATTAATATTCCACATTTTACTTTTTCTAAGAGATTTTTTTTAATCCTCACTGGAAGATACTTTTCCATTGATTTATAGAGAGAGGGAAAGACAGAGAGAAATATTGATGTGAGAGAAACATATTGATTGGTTGCCTCCTGCATGTGCCCTGACCAGGGCCCCCGGGCCAGGGAGGAGCCTGCAATCAAGGTACATGCCCTTGACCAGAATCAAACTTGGGACCCTTAGGTGTGCAGGCTGACACTCTATCCACTGAACCAAACCAGGTAGGGCAAGAGATTTCTTATATAGGAAATCATGTCTTTTCTTCAGCCTCTCTCCCTCTCCCCCTCAAAAGATCCACTTATTAAGATTTCTTAATCAGAAATCATGTCTTTGTTGTCAGCAAGACGCTTTTTGTCATGCTGAGGTATCAGCATGAAAGGGTTGTCAGATCCAAAACTGAAGTTAATACTTCACATTGTAAAAATTAAGATTTAAATTAATAACCTTTAAATACCTTAGATGGCTTTGCTGTTAACTACTGAAAAAGTTTTTTTGTTTTTGTTTCATTTTCAGGTAAGACCATTGCAATTGGAAAAGTTCTGAAACTGGTTCCAGAGAAAGACTAAGCATTTTCTTGATGACCCTGCACAATACTGTGAGGAAAATTGACTGCAAAAGCCTACTTCACACCGCCTTCTCATATTTTCTGCCCATTGACAAACCTCTCCCCATATTTTGCAAGACAAAATTCACAGCAAAAGTCCACATTATGTCAGCTTTCTCATATTGAGAGCTCTGCTATGCCACTGTTGAATTTTTCCCAATATTTTTTTCTTCCCCTCTCAAACTGCTTCCTTGGACAGATTTGGCAATAGCTTTGTAAGTGATGTGGACATAATTGCCTACAATAATGAAAACCTATAGAAATTTTTTAATTTTTCATTTTCCCCTTAGGCATACATAGTCTTTTTCCCCCCAGGCAGATCATTCTGAGTGTGCGAGTGTGTGTGCACATGTTACAAAGACAACTACCATGTTAATAAAATATTCAATTTGAAACCCTTTTCGGTATTTGAATTGCTTTTGAATAATGTTTTTTATCTGGATATAACATTGTTGCATTAGCTTTTTAACGTTACCAAGTAATTGAATGCATTTTATTACTTGGACTTTTCTAAACTCTTTCCCTATCCACTACTTTAAATGAGGCATTTACAAACAGTATTCAAGTTTGTATTAAAGGAAAGAATTAGTTTGACCTCTTTTTGATGGTAATGCATACATATAATTAAATACCTTTCTGTAACTGTGACACTGCTTTATTAGATCTATCAGTTATTTTTGGTCAATTTATATTTTAACATTATTTCTTAAACACAGTAAATTGTTTTAAAATAAAAGCATACTGTTTTTTTTATAAGAAGGCATAATTGTACCCCTACAATAAATTCCATTACCATGTTAAATTAGTGGAATTTACAATAAAGAAAGCATGGTGAGACCTGGCAAAACTGCCTTCTTTAGAATTTATAAGAGCTGCATGCATCTAGTAAGAAGATTATCAATTGGAAGTGCCAGATCTACAAATTACTCATTTTACTATTTGTATCACTGATTTTAAACGTTTGGGTGTTCCTTGCTGGTTAACGATAAATCTCATCCAGCAATTAAATGAACACATTCTTAGGAACCATCAGAATTTGCACAGATTACAGTTAACAGTGATAAGTAGAATCAAGCACAGTATAAGTTTTTTTTCAACTATTTGAAATTGTTTTCTTAAATATAAAGCTGAAATTTGTTAAACTATGATTTGGATGAACCACAATGTAGCATTGTGGTGGTTTTTAGATTGAAGGATGGCTTTCTGCTACAACTCATGACTTTGACATTTTTAATGAGAATAAATGGGAAATGGAAAAGAATTTCTCAGTTTATTGGAAGCCCCCCTTGATTTTGAGTGTTGCCATTTATTGAAGACTTGGCCTCTTTTAGATTATAATTTATCTCTAAATAAGATACATTGTAATTATTTATTTAATGCATTAGTTTAATTCCCTGTAGTCTTCCTTAGAAAAGAAAAGCCTAGTCAAACTAATTCCAATCACAAAACCTGAAACTTAATTTAACTCTTATTTTCTTAACTATAGAAATCCCATTCATCTCATGAATGGGCTATATTTTATGAACAGAGCAACATTATTCTCTTGCAGCATCCTGTAACTATACTCATGGCTATTAAATTGCATGAATTTTAATTCTATTATGTCTGCACATCTCTGGGCTTTTATTTTTCTGGGAAATATGGGAATTTTAATCAGTACATAATAACTTTTTGTACTTCCAAGTTAATAACAGAATAGTAGTAATTGCTTGGATTTTAATGAATCTTTAAAAACTCAAGAGTTGTTAAAATTACTTCTAAAGATAGAGTTCCATTTTTAAATTGAACACATTTTAAAAACCAGTTATGCTTGCTATTAAGACATTTACATTTTTAGAATATTATGTGCATGTTGCCAACACTCTTAAGTAAAACATGGCTATTAACTGTGAAGGGCCTACATCTAAAATGTAATTATGGAAGAAAAACTTCATGAATTCTTGCACATTTGTGCAAATAATTATTTAACAATAACCTCATTGTTAAATTAACCAACATCATATGCTTTGTGAGCTTTGACATTTTTTAGAGAAGTATTCTTAAAGTTGCTGCATTTTAAATTAATTACAATGGATAGTTATTTGGATGGGGAAATAAATGACTGAAATAAACTGGCAGTGTGTGGTGATGTTGGACCTTTAAAAAGCAATACAGATTCCTATGCTGTCATTTTGTCTTCTGCAAGTGCAGGTTTGTTTATATGGTTGACAATGCAAAAATAGAGGACAATTGGCAGCAGATTTGGGATATTACAGACCTAAACATTTCATCTTTAACATAAATGTGGTAGAACAATTGTCTTTGCATCTTTTTACATTACTGATGTTGTTTATACAACTTTCATGCTAGATTATTTAATTATAGTTTTTTAAAATTAGTTAACTGAATTTAAGAGAAGAAAGATACCATTGAAATAAATGTCTAAGTAATTGCTATTCTAAACCCTTATTTCTTACTGTGGGGGGCTGGTATAGTATCTATTTCTTGCTTTTAATTTGCAAAAAAGGACTTGCCCAGTGAAAATCTATGTAAAATCAAAAGAGTTGAACTGAGTATGTACTGCCATGAACTTAATGTAAACAAATAGTAAAGTTGTTGAATTAAGCCCATGTACATTTGTTTGTTTGAATTGAAAGTCTTGATATATGTGATAATTGAATGTAAAAACTTTGTAAATTGTAAAAAAGTCCAGGTTGTTCACTGTAACGAGGCAATTAATACTTCTCTGCTAGTTATATAGAGTACAAGAACTGCTTTACAATATGGGATGTACTTTGAGCGAGATGCCATCCTATCAGCTGAGTGCTACAGATATTTTGGGTCATAGTTTCAACCAGATGCAGTTTTGTAATCCAAGAAAAAGGTGAACCTATGGTCAAAAACTGCTTCCATGATGAACTTTTGAAAAAAGTCAGCTAAACTCCCTGGCAATCTTCAGGAACACTATTTATGACTAATTACTCCGTGATCTTTGATGGCTATTCCACATGACAGCACTATAGCACCTTTCATCATTGGCATGGACTTCCTCACTGACTGCTGCTTCATGGATGGTAGCTTCATTGCTTTGGGTAGGGATTTAAGGTAGTCAAGGGACAAATATACAGTTTTTATTACAGCTCTTAACATCAGGCAACTATCAACCTTTAAAATCTTTGTGAAAATTCTGGTTCCAGCACTATAGCTCAGATTGTAGGTTAAGTGTTATATTCAGTGTTGGCCTACCTTATCAGAATAAACTGTGCTATCAATCCTCTCTCAGACATATGTAAGGTAGATAGCAATCAATAGGATTTAGGGGACGATTTTCTGTCTCCAAATAATACAGCTTTTATTTCCTCCAGCAAATTTCTCAGTGATTCTAGCAGATAGCATCTAATACATTCATGATCTTGTTTCTTTCTTTAGAGATCGTGCCATGGCAGCAACTTGTTAAATAAATGTAATTACATAGCACAACTCAAAAGACTAGATTAAAATTTAGCAGCCAGTTGTTGATATTAGATTTGATAGTAAATGGAATAGAAGTGTTCTTATATTCCTATAGTAGTTCAGTGGACCCCATTTGAACCAATTTACTGTTGGAATTCAGACAGGGTAGATTTGGTTCAACTTGTAATGGTTTTGGCTCTAGGATATTCTTGATTTTCAATATCCTAGAACATATTAAGTCTTCCCTTCAATAAATACACTTTCACATACCTCTAATCCTATGCTTCCTTGAAACAGTAATATGCTAGCAAGTTGTTTACTAAGGAATGTTATAAGGGCCCTGGAGGAAATGGTGATTAAAACCTTTATGTTCTCCAACATAAGGGAAAAGCAGAGGCACCATGTCTGATTAGGCAGAAAATTACACAGAATTTCTTAAGCAACTCTTGGGATGGCAATTGCCTTTTCTGCCTTGTCACACATGCCACTGTGCCATTTAAAAATTAACGTGGAAACCTCAGGTTTGTCCCCTCTGCCAGGCACATTAGCTTAGTGCTTCAGATGTCAGCCCAAGTCCCTGCTACCTCCTTTCCTGCTGCCCTGGAAGAGTATTTTGCTGGAGCTGGAACTCCTGCATTCATTCCTCAGGTGATCATCCACATGAATTAGGTGAAACAGGTCTGAGCTTTGAAGGTCTGCATTTTAAGAACTCGCAAGTGGGCTCGCAGAAATCAACACATCTTAGTTAGCTAGTTTCTTCTGTTTGTTCTAAAGGAAATGTGGATCTCTTTCAGGCCAAGGTTTAGAATCTAGTTTTCACTAGACAGCAGGTTAGTACCTAGTTCTCATTTAAAAAAGAGGGGGGGGGGGGCGCTAATTAGGTTTGCTGGTTTTTTAAGAAACTAAATTCCAAAGCATGGCAGAATGCTATAGGTAGGAATTAGGGGAATCCAAGGTAAAGAAACCTTTTTCTTATGATTTGTAGCTACCTACTGTGCCTGAATTGGTGCCTGTGTGAGGATTAAGCCCTTAGTCTGCTCTTGCAATTACTAAAATGACAAGTTTAAAAGTACTTGCTTTTGTAATAATAAAAATTGTCACCTACTCTTTTGAAGAATTTGTCTGTTTGTTTATAATTACCTGCATTATATCAATTTTCTGTACAATCCTTTTTTTTTTTGTATCAAGTATTGGAACCATTTACCAGCATGGACCTAATTAGATGGATCTAATAAGCTCTGTCACATAAGGAATTTACAAACGTGGTCTGCTTGCATTTAGTATGCAAGGCCTTTGTACAGTGCATGATTCTTAACAAAACAGCAACCTGATAGGAAGTTACAGATGCTTAACAATAAATCAAATAACTATATAACAGTATGTGGCTTATGAACAGAATTGAGGGAACATCAATGATTCTGCCAAAACTGCAAACTTCTATTGTTCAGAATTTTAAATAATGATCAAGAGACCATATAATACTTGTCCTTCTTTACAGTTTAAAGGCAAAAAGAAATTACTGATAAACAGGCATTATACATTTCCGTATATACTCATCTTTTATTATGGAGTTAGGATGAGTTCTTGTTTAACATTAGGTGAAGGCAATCACTTCAGGGTTTTGTTCCTCAATATCTAGTATGGGTGTTTGACATTAAATGAATCTTAGCTTAAAACTTATGAGCAAGTTTGCCATGAAAGCAGGGGTTCATGTGAAAGTTCTAAATAAATGGTTTGACATTTCCCACACTTTTCAATGGCCAGCTCTCCAACTCAGTCCATCAAACATTGGGTTTGTTGTTGAAAAAACAACTTTCTTAAGTGTGTTTGGGCATCCAACCATACATAGGCAATGTACTGCAGTGAGCAGAAAACTGATGGTAGAGAATTTTACACTTCTTGACCCATGAGACCCCTTTCAGAGACGTTCTCTGAAAAACAGCATCAATACCTTGGATACTGTAGATTTTTAGTGAAGAACTATATACCTCCCAACCTAGAACAAATGTTGGCCATTAGAAGTGTATGCTCTAATTACCTTATTTTCTTCCCAAGAGTCTTAGTCCGTACATATCAATTTTTTAAAAATAATTCATGCCCTGGTTGGTGTGGCTTGGTTGGAGCATCATCCTGAGTACACTGAAGTCAGATTCTATTCTCAATCAGGGCACATACCCAGGTTGTAGGTTTGATCCCAGGTGGGGGCACATTCAGAAGGCAACCAATCAATGTTTCTCCTTCCCCTCCCTCTAAAATCAATAACAAAAAATCCTTGGATGAGGATTTTTAAAAAAGTATTTCGCCCTAGCCAGTTTGGCTCAGTGGACAGAGCGTCAGCCCACAGACTGAAGGGTCCCAGGTTTAATTCCAGTTAAGGGCATGTACTTCAGTTGCAGGCTTGATTCCCAGCCCTGGTCGGGGTGTGTGTGGGAGGCAACCAATCGATGTGTCTCTCTCACATCGATGTTTCTTTCTCTGTGTTTCTCTCCCTCCCTTCCACTCTCCGGAAAAAAAATCAATGGAAAAATATCCTCAAAAGGGGATTAATAACAAAAAGGAGTAATTCACATATTTGGTTCAAGATACTTACATAGGGTATCCCCCCAAAATGTATATATACACTTTGAATAACTATTCACTCCAACAGGTTAAATATGAAGAAAGAAACATCAATTGAGCTATCAGCTGTTAAGTGTGTGTACATTTTTTTGGGACTCCCTGTATTTAGTTTTCCTTTATCACCATTGGCTCTAAAATAACTACCTGTAGTTATATTCCTTCACAAGCACTGTTTATGACTTTGGACGTTACAAAGATCACTCCAACTGAAGGACAGAGAATGGACTACAAGATGCAAAACTGGAGGTAGGACAACCCAGGAGGTTGTTAGGGAAAAAAATGATGCTCTACACTACTACATAGAAGGGATAAGTTCAAGAGATATTTAATAGGAATAAACAAGATTTTATTATTGACTATATTTGGGGGATGAGAAAAGATTAATTCCTATATTCTGGGCAACTAGGCTGTTGGGGGTGCCAATGACAGAGAAAACAGAAGGAGCACTTTGAGGGAAAGATAATGAGCTCATAGTGGGGCATGCTGAGTATAAAGCTCTAATAGGACTTCGAGCTCATAGTGGGGCATGCTGAGTATGAAGCTCTAATAGGACTTCTACATCAACGGTTGACGAGTTTTAAGATGGGAGGTCTGCAAATTTCTATTATCTGTTGAGGGATAACAAATCACCCCAAACTCAATGGCTTAAAAAAACATTATCTTGCCCTGGCTGGTTTGGCTCAGTGGATGGAGTGTCGGCCTGCGCACTGGAGGGTCCCAGGCTCAATTCTGGTCAAGGGCATGTATCTTGGTTGCGGGCACATCCCCAGTGGGGAGTGTGCGGGGGGCAGCTGATCGATGTTTCTAGCTCTCTGTCCCTCTCCCTTCCTCTCTGTAAAAAATCAATAAAATATACTTAAAAAACAAAACAAAACATTATCTTGTTACTAAACAAGGACTGGCCACCCATTGCATACAGAAGCCAATATTATGACACTGGCTTTTGAGAAACGGTTTTATTGTGAAATCACCAGCAAGGAGACAGAAAACAAGGCTCAAATCTCTTCTAATCCAGGTGAGTTTTAAGAGGTTAGGAGAAAGAAGACTGGTATATAAAAGCACTGGCAGGGCAAGTTTTGACTGAAGAGCTTTGGACCTTGGCCATTTATTGAAAGATATGGTAAGGGGCTTCAGCACCAGATCTTCCTGGGACAACCAATCCTTTGCTTCTGAAAGAGTTCCAGAGTTCAAGTTTTGGTCATGTCCCAGTCGTTTTGTTCTGGGAGGTGGGGGGAAGGGCAGTTTTGGTTCTGGGTGCAACTAGAGGTCAAATTGTCTCCTCTGAACATGCTTCAGCTGCATGACTTGTGGTTTTGGTTTGTCTCTGAAAAGCAACTCAATATCTTGTTAGAAATAGGACAGAGCCTGTCTGAACTGATTTTGCAGTTACAATCACACTTTTTATGGGTCAGGAATTTGGAAGCAACATAGCTAAATGGTTCTGGCTCAGGGTTTCTCAAGACTTTGCAGTTATCTCAAGGTCTGATTGAGGAAGAATCCACTTCCAAGCTCACTCACGTGGTTGCTGGCAGGTTGCTTGAGGAGCCTCAAGACATGGTAGCTGACTTCACTCAGAGCAAGTAATATGAAGGAAAGAAAGAGCAGGAGAGATGGAGGGAAAAAGAACACTCCGGGCAGAAACTATAGTCTTTATAACTTAATCTCAGAAGTGACATCCTGTAACTTCTGCTACATTCTATTTGATAGCACCAAGTCCAGCCCACACTCAGTATCAAAGAATTTGTGAGCATGACATTTTTTAAACCACCACAATACCACATCCAAATTATTAACCTTCCTAAAGCACAGTTCATCACCACCTCCTCTTCTTTTCTTAGCACCAGTTCCAAAACCTTGTACGATTTCTCCAGAGTATAAACCCTCAGCTAGACAACAAAAATTCCTTAACCTACTCTTCTAGCCTCATCTCCCATTCCTCCCCTCTGCACATTCCTGATCCCGATACTACTTGCAAACACCACCGTGCACCTTCTCCTGACTTCATACCATTCCCCTGGCCTACCAGCCTCGTTCTCAAACTTGAATGCAGGCGACACATCTGACAGCCCTAAGGCTCTTAACACATACTAGAAAAACTGATAAATGAAGCCGAATGTAACAATTCATAATCTTGTGCTCAAACTAGTTTCACCTTATACTAGATTCTAGAATAGGTAAGTGCGAGTAAGTAACAGAGATTTAAGAAAATTTCTTCTAAAATGGATCGAAGACAAAGTCATCATTAGAGATCAGCCGAATACCCATTCCTCCACCTTTGGCAATGTGGAAGGAGCATTTTTTGGGGGGAAAACAACTGATATGGAAAGTCTCCTCTCATTCCTTCTCTCTCAAACATTTCCACAGCTAGTTCCAAAAAGACTACAACCATCCATCCTGAAGGTCCATTGAAAAGCTCCTAAAAAGAAAAAGAAAAAAACAAAAACGAAGAAAAACTCCCAAATAAACTATTGTTTATCTACATGCTGGAAGGACATTCCGAGTTAAAACAGATGAGGCAGAGCATTCTGTACTGACTTGGCCAACCTCCAAGATACATTAATAGAAAAAAACCGCCCGGGCCCGTGTTTCCCAGTGGTTAGAGCGTGGCCACGCGCACCCAAGGGTCGGGGGTTCTTCCAGGTCAAGGGCACTCACTACCTGGGTTGCTGGTTCGCTCTGGGGGCGCGCGCAGGAGACAGCCAGGCAATGTCTCTCTCTCACACATCAACGTAAAAAGAGAGAAAAAGTCAACGTACAGAACAATAAGTAGACTTGGCTACACTTGTTAAAAAAAAAAAAAAAAAAAAAAAAAAAAAAGACCAAACCCAGCCACACACAGAGAGAAAAAATGACACCAGCCATCCAGAGAGAGAAAAATTACAACTATTTCGTAAACATGCCTTGGGTACCCTTGGCAGGTTCCCAGGGGCAGTGGTCACTTCTGGGGAAGCGGGGCGGGGGCAGACTCCGCCGCATTCCGGCCTGCACGCTCGGTGTGGACGCTCTTACCTCCCACCTCTGAGGCTCTGGCTCCTCGTTCGGGGCCCCCCACCGTTTAACGACGCGCGCGGTGTTTCCCGCGCCTGATTCCACGTAATTCTCACCAGCGGTGGGGAGGTTCCCGCCACCTTCGTGTTGGAGGAGACTGGCTGGACAGCGTCAGTGGTTCCCCCCAAGTCACCGGACAGGTGGGTGGTGGGGCCAGAACGCCCCGCTCTCCTCACGCCCCTCCGGGCCTGCCCAAAGGCGGGGTCCACGGAGAGCGGGTGACCTCACTGGGTGCATGGACAGGGCTCCTCTCCCGCCTCCAGGAGCTTGCTCGATGTCTTTTGTGAACGAGAGAGACCAAAATGTCGCCAGGCTGCTCCCCGAGCCTCACGGAAACACGGAGAGTTGTCACCTCAGAGACTCCGAGTACAGGCGGAGCCACACTCAGTTTGCTTGCGCCCGCCAAACCTCTACGACGCGACGCCCGGAAGTGACGCGAGGACCCGC